GGAAATTTAAGTGGGAGGAGCCAAACTGAAGCAGGCATTGTTGGGAAGGCTCAGCCACTGCACTGGAGAGTGCTGTTAATCCAGTGAGATTTGAAACAGAGGTGAATCTTGAGTACTTCTTTTATTATGTCAGAATCATTGCAGGTGAAGGCAGTTTTGTCCCTGGAAGACAGTTAGCAATGTCTGAAGCTGCTTTGGGTAGTTGTAACAGAGTAGGAGAGGGTGGAGATTTCTGATGTTTAGAGAATGAAACATTGGGAAGCCACCAAATAATCTATGATGCTGTGTTAGCTGCTTTTTAACCACTGTGGGAAAGATTTTAAAGGAGGAACAATTACATTGACTCATGGTTTCAAAGTTTTCAGTCCCTTAGGTCAAGTGGTGAGTGACATGGGCAGAGAATGGGAACAATACACCCTCTTAGGACTTGTCCTTCCTGACCTACTTCCTCCAATGAATCCCCATTTCCTCATTTCTACTGCTCCCAAAAAATGCCATCAGATGATAAATCCATTGAGGTATTCATGAACTCAGTGTGTCAGAGCCCTCATTTTCTTGTCATTTCTCAATGCATGGGTCTACATGGTGGGAGCTAAGCCTCTTCCAAATGAGACTTTGGACAGATACTGCAGATCCAAACCACAGAAAATCCCCAGAACAGCATCTCATGTGCACAATAGAAAATTATCTGGCCACAAATGCCAGAAAATGCCAAGGCTAATTGGTTTATTATAATGCATGAACCACGTATTTTTGAAAGATATTAAGAACTTATAGTATTAGAAAATGTGTAATCTGGAAAGGAAAATAATTATCTAAAGAACTCAAAAGAAAGATAGTTATGGCTTAACAATAGGCTGCTGCTATTACTATGAGCTCACTCTGAACATAGATCTAACTCTCAATGTCAGCAATTCTGATAGGCTGAACAGGTATTTATGGAATACCAATGTATGTGTCATTAGCATGATGAATAATAAACATTAAACAGGTACTTTTATTGTGCTAAATGTTAGTATAAGGGTAAAATGAGAGAAGGGTGTTTTGTAGCTGTCTCACTAACAGGGACAAATTCTATTTGAAAGGAGAAAGTTCTTGTGTAGATACTAAATTATTTTGTTTCTTTAAATTGGAAACAAGCTTGCTTGACAGGTCAGTCCCTGCTCCCTCTCCATACCCTCCTCTCCTGCCCCTCACCAGCCCCCCTCCAACCACCCACTCCATCCCCCGTCACTCCCCAGGGAGGGTGAGACCTTCCATGGGGGATCTTCAAAATCTACCCTGGGCAGGGCCTAGGCCCTCCCACACATGTCCAGGCTGAAAAAGCATCCCTCCATGTGGAATGGGCTCCCAAAGTCCATTTGTATGCTAGGGATAAATACTGATCTACTATCCAAGGCCCCACAGATTGCTGAGGCTTCCTCACTTACACCCACGTTCAGACGGTCTGGATAAATCCCATGATGGTCTCTCAGTCACCAGTCTGAGGTCTATGAATTCCCCTTGTTCAGGTCAGCTGTCTCTGTGGGTTTCACCAGATGGGTCTTGACTTCTTTGCTCATCACTCCTCCCTCTCTGAACTGGGTTCCAGGAGTTCAGTTCAGTGTTTAGCTATGGGTGTCTGCCTCTGCTTCTATCAGCCACTGGATGAAGGCTCTAGGATGGCATTATTCGGGAGGACACTTAAGGTAACCTCTCCATTATTGCTTAGATTGTCACTTGGTGTCATCATTGAAGATCTCTGAAAATCTCCCTAGTGTCAGATCTCTTCTCAAACCTATAGTGGCTCCCTCTATTATGGTATCTCTCATCCTGCTATCCTCTATTCTTCCCCTGACTCAACCTTTCTGCGCCCACATATCCTCCTCTCCCCTCCTCTTCTCCCCCTTTCATTCTCCCAGCTCCTTCTCCCCTCCTCCACATGATCCCAATCTGCTCAGAGATTCTGTCCCATTCACCTTCTCCAGGGAACCATGCATATCTCTCTTAGGGTTGTCCCTGTTTCCCAGACTCTCTGGAAATAGGATTGCAGGCTGGCAATGCCCTGATCCATGTCTGAAATCCCTATATGAGTGAGTATATACCTTGTTTGTCTTTTTGTGACTTGGTTACCTCACTCAGGATGGTTTCTTCTAGTGCCATCCATTTGCATGCGAATTTCAAGGTTCCATTGTTGTTTTTGTTTGCTTATTTGTTTGTTTTACTGTTAAGCTGTACTCCATTGTGTAAATGCACCATGTTTTCTCTATTCAAACTTCAGTTGAGGGCCATCTAAGTTGCTTCCAGGTTCTGGCTACTACAAATAGTGCTGCTATGAACATAGTTGAGCAGATGTCCTTAATGTATGATTGTGCATCTTTTGGGTGGCTGTATGAGTTGGCACTCCCACCAGCAGTGTAGGAGTGTTCACCTTTCTCCACATCCTCTCCAGAATAAACTGTCATTGGAATTTTTTATTTTCAGAGCTGTTTTGACTTGCATTTCCCTGATGGCTAAGAATGTTGAGCACTCAAAGTAGCAGGCTACAAGATGTACTCAAGAAAACCAGTGGCCCTACTATATACAGATGATAAAAGGGCTGAGAAAGAAATCAGAGAAACATCACCCTTTACAATTGCCTCAAACAACATAAAATACCTTGGGGTAATGCTAACCAAACAAGTGAAAGACCTGTATCGCAAGAACTTTGAACCTTTAAAGAAAGAAATTAAAGAAGCCCTCAGAAAATGGAAAGATCTCCCATGGTCTTGGATAGGTAGGATCAATGTAGTAAAAATAGCAATCCTGCCAAAAGCAATCTACAGATTCAATGCAATCCCCATTAAATACCAGCACAATTATTCACAGACCTAGAATGAACAATAATCAATTTTGTATGGGCATTTTCATGTGCATGCCTGTATTACCAGCCCAGTGACTGGTAGAGGACTGACACTCACTGAATAAAGCCTGTCATCAGCATTGCTCCAGGTTCAAGTGATAGACTCTGTCTTAAAGGAATGAGGCAGAAACAACATCTTCTGGCATGTGAAAACTCCCAAATTATATGCATGTGCATGCACGTTCACGTACACACACACACAGAGACACACGCACACACACACATTAAAAAAATAGATGGATGATGAAGGATGTCATTCTCTATGCTGGGAATATATGTTTCTCTTATTGGTTGATGAATAAAGCTGTTTTATCCAATGGACAGGCAGGATTTAGTCAGGAAAGAAATCCAAACAGGGATAGAGGAAGGTAATAGGCACAGTCAGGGGGATGCCATTTAGCTGCAAAGGAAGGAAGAGAGCAGGGCATCATCAGTAAGCCAAGACCACATGGAGATACAAAGATCAATAGAAATTGTTAATAATTAAGAGATGGCTAGCCAATAAGAAGCCTGAGCCTTTGACAAAATAGTTTATATTTAGTATAAGCCTCTGTGTGCTTATTTAGGACTAAACTGGCTGAGGGGCTGGGCAGGACAGAAACTTCCCTCTACAGATGAACATGTACAAATTCAACAATATGGTGGTTTACAATGTCTCCTGGGGTAGTTTTTCTGAAAGAATGGAAACTTTTTCCTTGAAAGCCATTTTTACAGTAAGGAAAACATAAGCTAGAAGGGAATATTTCTAAGACAGCTGAACTCATAGTCATTCCTTTTTTATCTGAAGGAGCTTGGCTCTGTGAGAATCATCACTTCCCTACAGTAGTTACATACTACCACAGACAGTAAGTACAAGAAGAAAGACAGTTCTAGAAGCTGCATGGGCAAGTATGGTTCCTGAAGCATGAAGTCTTTTATTTAGACTTCTTGAATAAGTTAGGGAAATAGTTTAAAGGATGACCCTCCTAACCAGGTTGAAGCATGAGTTCCAGGGAAGTCATGAACCATTGGTGATCTTGAGCAACATTTGGGGGTGTGTAAATTCATTGATTTTTTTATGTGTGTAAATATCTTTAATGAGAGTCCTCAAAATATCACATGACCCTTAAAACATTAAATTTCTGTTTCTGAAAAATTATATCTTCAATCCCTTAGTCTAAAGTTGAGCCCTCTTTTACTTATTTTAAAAATATGTATAGATGTTTTGTTTACATGTATGCCTGCACACAGTGTACATATATTCCCCATGGAGGCCAGAAAAGGGCATCAAATACCTGTGACTGTAGACCAAGGTGATTGTGAGCCAGCATGTGGGTGCTAGGATTAAAACCCAGATCCACTGGAAAAGCAGTCAGTCCTCTTAATTACTGGGCCATCTTTCCAACCCCTTCTTTTACTTTAAAAATATTACAACATAAAACTTCCGTCTCCTCCAACTTTCTCTGTTCTCTATGTTTATAAGAATACATCTGTGATTTAAAGACACAATGTGGTCCTTAGGAAACAGTCTTGACATTAGTGTCTGGTCATTTTTATTATTACATTACTCAGCCTTTAGTTATTTGTGTTTCTTTAATACATTTGAATTATGGTAGCTCTAGTCTTCAGCAATCCAAAATCATAAAACACTGTAAGGAAGAAAAGAAAACAGAGAAGCAATAATCTGCTGCTGAAATAATTGAATTTTGTGTTGTTCATGCTCCTTCCTAAGCTGCAGATGACCAAGACCATGTAGCAATATTCCTAAAGTCCTCTGCTCTTAAGTGACTCTTGGAAATTGCCATGCTCCACCTCATTGAAAATATTTAAAAGGTAGTTTGGGATATATTTTTTCTCACCAATTTTTCTTCGGGATATTGTACATTTTTTAAAATTTCAGTATTTTAATCTCAGTTAAAAACTACTGATAGAAAGCAGAAGCAGTTTTGTTACATACGTGTAAATTTTACTTTGAAAGTAACCATTGAGATGTTTATGGAAATTAAGGAGAAATGTGATAAATCTCCTGCATGTTCCATATCATCTTCACACAATGCCTTGTAGCATTATATGTTATGATTGATTTTTGTATTTACCACAATAAATTTAATCATGCTTGTTCTTTTTTTTTCTCTAACAGAGAGACTGCCACAGGTTTATCTGGAAGTCCACCAAGGTGAGCAGCTGGCTTTTCTTATTCTCCTCCTGATTTTTGAAATATACAGAGAAGAGTATTATGTCTTCTTGAAGAGGGATTCTCATTTTCTCATATTATTGTGCCAAAAGAATATGTATGAGTCCTTGAATCACATTGAAACAATATCATCAAGAAGTAATAAGGCTAATATCTATGAATGATTTCTCATAATCATTTTCATTCTTTTTACATCTTTACAGCTACAGATTGACAGGTAGATGACAGACAACCAAACAGACAGATAGATGCTGTATACGTAGATTACAATAACTGTATTTACCCCAGAAATCATAAAAATGCTGATTCCTTTATTAGAGTCAAAAGAACTGACAATCAGAGATACTTGTGTCTTTTTTTTAAATCTACCTATTATTATTGTATTTGGAGGTTAATTGATTTATAAAAGAACCCTGTGCTTCTGCTAAGGACCCTGATTAGAGTTTGGATTATATAAACACATTTGTAATTCTTATTATGGTTTAAATAAGAAAAATAGAAAAACAATAATGGGTGGCCACCTTTTAAAAGCCATTTTATTGAAGACTGTGTATCTAGGATCTGGCCATAGCACCAAAACCTGTACTCAGTCTTTGAAGGTGCTTAATAACCATTTGAGAATTTATTAACATGAAATGGGGAATTGGTTGGGAACTGTTGAATGTTCATTAAGATAATCTCAAGAACTGAACAAGAAACAAACAATATAATTCTGAATAGCACTAGGAGATGGGAGGTTATGGGTCATCAAAGTATGGAAGGGAGAAGCAATATAGCTCTTTTTGTATGTTAAGAAAAATTTGCTTGTAGAATCATAATTGATGTTGTCCCCAAAAACTGTTTATTGTGATCGAAATAGTAAACTTGATGTGTGTCTTCATTCTTTGGATAGCATCTAAAAGAAGTATCCCAAAGGTGTCCTAGATTGCAAGGTTAAACCTCTGAGTGTGTTCTGAGTTATATATCACTTTTGAGTTTATATGTCATAGTGCTTTTTCTTTTGGGAAACGTCTGTCCTCAAGGTTTGAGCAGCCCATCATTTGTGGAGGGGTAGAGCTGTGTGTCTACTCATGTTTGTGGTGAAGAAGTTAATCCTGAAATAATGGAATGAGGAATGACTTCCAAACTTTTATATTATGACTAAGACACAGACCACCTCTGTATTGTCAAAGAAGACCCACACCATGCTGTAATCATGCAGATGAAAATTGCTCATATGTCTGAAAATCTGCAGAGCCTCCTGAATTCTATTAACCAGTGCTTTATTGTGAATACCAAGCAGCTATTCGCATATTCCCCAGGAATGATCTTCTGTTGTAGCTGGTTTATTACCCAAGGGACAGAATGCTCTCTTCTTTAGTTTGGTGGGTGGTATTTTCGTAATGAGCCTATTTATTTTTTGTCATGAATTTTGCTATTCTATTGTTGAATAATGTTTAAAATCAACAGCACAGTGGCAATCTGATTCTAACTGCAACTTGAAGTCATTTTCATGCATGTATGAAAGTATGAGAAATAAGGTTAGTTGTTTCTCAATTATGCATCTAATATAGCCTCAGGTGTTCTGCTAGCTTTCTCCAGGGGCAGCTTGGGATATAAACATTGACTAGTATTCCTCTTTGCACATTAACATAAAATAATGTAATTATTTCACAATGAATGCTCGCCTTTGTGTCTAAACTATTTCTTTGGCAAGTATTTGCTTGCACAGCCTAGTAGTATTCCATTCTTTGTTCAGCTCTCCACCTGTCTTCAAATTTCTTCAGCCTGTCACTAGAAAATGAGCCCTCTAATACATGGGTACTATTTAGAACAAGGGATCTGTAGTTATTTTGTTTGTTTGTCAGCTAATGATTAGTGGAACATGACACTTGGAGTTTTTTATCCTTTTAACCATAAAGGCATGCTCTTGCTGTGACATCAAAGGAAAATGGAAAATTTCAATTCAGGCAACTGCTAGCTAGTGATATGTGGCTAGGAAGGAAAACAGTGCATTTTGTAACACTGTTGTGATTCCCTTTTCATTGGCTTTGACTGTCTCTAAGTTTTCCAAAAGGGTCTTTTAGAGCTGTTCTGGTGTGTGTGTGGCAGGGTTAGGACTAAGGTAGAATATTTCACCTTTAATTGCCTTACATGGCATTAATTTCAAGTCACTGGCCACAGGTTGATAATACTCTTTACAAATGCACAAACCACACAGCATGGATTGTGTCTCAGAAGCTAAAAGTGCTTTGAAGTTGAAACAAGATCCATGCACAAGGTGCTTGAACAAGCATCAGCTTCATTTTCCTTTGCTAATGATAACCTAAATGCATTTTTGAATTCTTGCTATTGCTGAAATTAAAGCTTAGTAATAATATGTCACCAGAAAAATATTAGATTACATGAGCAACAAGCACTCTAAGCAATGTAATTATATTATAAATATTAAAAACCAATGATCTTGTCAAGATTAAAACAAATATTTAAACCAACTGCCTATAATACTCATCTTGAAGTGTCTCGCAAATAGGATGCATGCTCCCTTCCTTGAACTGTGAAAATAATTTTATCTTACATACGACTTCTTGCTTTTATTTTACATATAGCAAAAAACAATTCAGCAATCTGAACAGTTTTTCTATTACAACCATTTGTGTGTGTGTGTGCGTGTGTGTGTATGTGTGTGTGTGTATTGGTGTGTGTGTGTGTGTATTGGTGTGTATGTGAGTAAATTGTATGTGTGTGTATGCAGAAGCCAGAGGACAACCTCAACTTCAGGTATTATTTTACAACTGCCATTCACCTTGGATTTTTCTGGGGGGGGTCACTTTTTCTCTTGTATTGTGGGTTTGCTTCTTCTTCTTCCTCCTCCTCCTCCTCCCCCTCCTCTTCCTCCTCCTACTCCTCCTCTTTCTCTTTCTCTTCTTTTTCTTTTCAAGGAAGTCTCAGTGGTTTGAAGCTCTGAGATTTGTTAGTGTATCTGGCCATTGGCATCGTGGCCCCTTTTCCTCAGGGATTTGCCTGTCTCTGCTTTCCCAGGGCTGGCATTGCAAATGCATGCCATCAAGTCTGGCTTTTTAAAAATGACTTCTGGGAATCTACTTCAGGTCCTCATTCTTGCAAGGCAAGCACCTTGCCAACTAAGCAATCTCTTAATCCCTATCATAATGTGTTTCCAAATTTGTTTCTTCCATTGAAGTGTGGTTAGTTTGAGTAGATGTGATCAAAAGAAATCCTGATGAAATCTTAATTGTTCAATGGATTGGAAGAACTAAATTAAATATAACCTGTATTCTTAATGTAAATGTTTCCTATACAAAGAAAAACTTGTTTTGGATAACAGAGTAAGGGGTATATCCAATCCTTACAGCAACTCAACCTTAAATAACACCATGTACCATCAGCTACCATTTTTGAAAGAGAGATAAGGGACTTCAGTTCCTTGTTAGCACAGTTCCTGGTTATAGACTTAAAAGTATAGAAAATAAAGGGATTTAACAGACTGTCATAGAAGCATATGAAAAATAAAGGGATTTAATAGACAGTCATAGAAGCATCTTAAGTTCCGCAAGAGAGATTCTTGAGCCAGCTCTTATACACAGAACCTACAACTCAGAATACTCTGCAAAGAACATGAAATGTCAGTCAGTGAAAATTAAAATAATTAGGCATGTAAAACAGCTGCTATCTTTTACTGGATTTCTCTATCAGTCAATAGGAATCAGAGCTAAAGACTAATGTTATAAAAGAAAAATTTAATATTTCTTCTTGCATTCAAATTCAACACATTAATAATTTTCCTTTGGTCTTCTATGTTGGTGGGAAAACAACACCCCCATGATATCCCTCTTCTCTCAGATTCACTACTTGGCTCCCAAAGAAAAATCAGTGCATTAGCCTAAGCAATTAGTCTCCATATACCACACATGACATAATATTAGGGTTTTGGACATTTCTAGACTAGCCACAGGTAGTATGACATTCTCCATGCTCATTTCTAAGTTTGGGATCAGCCCCTTGATCCCAAGAGAAAACAACATCAACTCTATGGTTGACTTGTACTACACAATAAGGAGCTTCAATACATTAGGTGCATTGCATGCTTTTTGACTTAATGGTTTTTCAGCTTATGTATTTATCATAACATAACCCTCCTCGTACATCAAGAAAAATTCACATAAGCAATGGAACACCAGTTCCTAACGCACAAGGACTGGGCATTACATTAGTGTTAGAGACTCTACCAGGACAATAAAATTGCTTAACTGTGACTATCCTATCAGGTCAAAGTCATTCCATTGTAGTTTCACATGTGGAGAACTGATACTGGAGTACTGATACTAGAGTACCAATACTACATGTAGAGCTTTGTTTTCTGAGGTTTTAAGTGAACTGTACCATTTCTCATCAACCATATTTATGTCATGGATATGTCAGGCCAGGAAGCAACAAGGAAGAAAGGTGGAAGCAAAGGGAATTAAGCTCTTGTGGCTCAAGTTGCTAGTTGTGGCTCTAGAGGGTTTAAAGTCAGGGCTTTAGTTCTCTGTTGAAGCTTTGGTAGCTAGCACAAACTCATATTTCTCATTATACTCAATACAAAATGCTGTCTCTCTTGAGACCTTTAGAGAGTAGTGGATAAATACATTGATACTTCCAGGTCAAATTCTTCAGTAAAGAGTTGATGGACATACACTTCTTTCTTCTTTCTTCATACAATCCAGGAAACATTAGTTTCTTTTTATACTGTCCTGGTACCTGAATTCAGTGTGATTCCATATTGATGAGTTTAATTATTTATTTACTAATTTAACCAAGATATGTTGAGTGCTAGGTATATGCCAAGACTAGGCTTTGTGGCAAAACATAGATAAAACACCATTTCTTCTCCCTGGTATTTTAATCTAGTAAGGAAGGTATGGAGAAGCCCAGTGATAGACACACAGTGCTTTGAGTGTAGGAGAAGAAAAACACCTGCAATGGTTAGTATGAATTGTGAACTT